GTCACTACTAAAAATACAAAAAATTAGCTGGGCATGGTGGTGGGCACCTGTAACCCCAGCTTCTTGGAAGGCTGAGGCAGGAGAACTGCTTGAACCTGGGAGGTGGAGGTTACAGTGAGCCAAGATTGTGCCACTGTACTTCAGCCTGGGCAACAGTTTAAGACTCTGTCTCAAAAAAATAAAAAATAAAAATAAATAAATGGTGGGGGGCAGTGGCTCACACTGTAATTCCAGCACTTTGGGAGGCTGAGGTGGGTGGATCATCCCAGGTTGGGAGTTCAAGACCAACCTGACCAAAATACAGATACCCTGTCTCTACTAAAGTACAAAAGTAGCAGGGTATGGTGGCACATGCCTATGATTCCAGCCCCAGCTACTTGGGAAGCTGAGGCAGGAGAATCACTAGAACCTGGGAGGCAGAGGTTGCAGTGAGCCAAGATCATGCCACTGCACTCCAGCCTGGCCAACAAGAGTGAAGCTATGTCAAAAAAAAAAAAAACAAAAACAAAATCCACACTATAGCCAAATCAGGTTCCCTGGGTCCACCCTGTCCACTGGCAGCAACACAAAAGGCAGAACACATGTAGAATGACTTCAGGGAGGACACAGATGGTATAAAAGTTAAGATAAACATTTCCTAGAGCGCTCCCAGCCTGGAGAAAAGGCTGACAAATCTTTAGGCCCCAGATGAAGATCTAATCCCATGGTTCTCAAGTAGGAACAATTTTGCCCCCCAGTGGGACATTTGGCAATGTCTGGAGACATCCTTAGTTGCCATAATCGGGTGGGGAAGTGCTACTGGCATCGAATGGGTAGAAGCCAGTGTTGGTAAACAGTGCACAGGACAGCTCCTTACAGAAACAAATTCTCTAGTCCAAAATGTCGACAGTACTATGGCTGATCAACTTTGGGTTTAATCCAATGATGGGTTCAACTGCTTTTTTAATCTTGGGATTTACATAACCTAGGGACCTGTTTGATAATACTAATTCCAAATATGTCAAAACTTCTACAAGCAGCAGAGTATGCCTTAAACCAGAACCAGATGTAGCCGGCCCCAGGCCCATCTCATGCAAACCAGTCTCAAAAGAGCAGTCCAGGCCTTTCCACCCTCAGAGCCAGGCACACATGAGGCAGCCAGTGAGACCTCCTCTCCTCAAAGGCACAGGTCTCAAGCAAGGAATTAATACTGTCAAAGGGCTGCATGTCAACTTTCATCCTTAAATGGCTAACCAAAGCTTTCTTAAAGTACAGTATTTCTTAAAATACTAACCAGTAAAGTTTATCTGAAAGACTCGCATAAGGAATGCAAATTTTTTCTCACATAAGTTTAAAAATATGTTTACAAAAGGGTATGTTACTAGCCCTATACTTGCTGGTTTATGCTAAATAAAATCCAAAGCATATACACAGATCCCATCTATGAATACTATCCACTTTTCCACCTGTCCCTGACAAGCTCAGTGGCCTAAGATTAGCACTGCCACCAAATATCTAGGCTCTTCAGTGATCCAAGAAAGGTTCAGCTGTTTTACTCTGAAAAGACTTCAAGGAAGTTTCATATATATACATATATATATTTTTTTTTTGAGACTGAGTCTCAGTCTGTGGCCCAGGCTGAAGGGCAGTAGTATGATCTCGGCTCACTGCAGCCTCCCCTGCCCAGGTTCAAGCAACTCTCATGCTTCTCTCCTGAGTAGCTGCGACTACAGGTGTGTAGCTAATTACACCACATGCAGCTAATTTTTGTATTTTTAGTAGCAACAGGGTTTCACTGTTGGCCAGGCTGGTCTCGAACTCCTGGCCTCAAGGGATCTGCCTGCCTTGGCCTCCCAAAATGCCAGGATTACAGGCGTGAGTCACTGCACTCAGTCAAGAAAGTTGTATTTTAAATACAGCTGGGCTTTCAGGACCATAAGCCACAGGTTACTTCAAGGTGAACCTGAAAAGGGAGTGGATTCTTCTCTATCTTCATCATATAAAGGGAAAACAAGTAAACATACATGATCTGAAAATCTATCACTCGAAGAAAACTACTCTTAGCATTCTGGTGTACATAAACTTACTCCTAGAGTTTTCCTAGACAAGTATATCCATATCAACTTGTTTTTTATAAAAATGAGACCATAGTCAGCTGGGTGCAGTGGCTCATGCCTGCAGTCCAAGCACTTTGAGAAGTGGAGGTGGGAGAACTGCTTGAGCCCAGGAGTTTGAGGCCAACCTGAGCAATACTGCAAGACTCAAACTCACAAAAAAAATTTTTTTAATTAGCTGGGCGTGGTGACGTGCACCTGTAGTTCCAGCTACTTGGGAGGTTGAGGCAGGAAGATCACTTGAGCCCAGGAGTTTGAGGTTGCAGTGAGCCATGATCAGGCTGCTGCACTCCACCCTGAGCAGTGGAGTGAGACCCTGTTTAAAAAAAAAATACACACACACACACACACACACACACATATAGAGAGAGAGTGTGTGAGTACAGCCATACAACTAACTGGATACTGCTTAAGAAAGCTGAATTTTTTTCAGACAGTGTCTGCTGGGAAGACTGGTGTGCTGCTGCTGGGAAAATGATGGTGAGGCTGCAGATTTGTTTTTTGTTTTCTCTTCTTTTCCCAAACAGCTGGGATTACAGGCATGAGCTGCTGTGCTCAGTCTGGCTGTACCCTTTGATTTTTTTTTTTCGAGATGGAGTCTTGCTCTGTTGCCCAGGTTGGAGTGCAGAGGTATGATCTCAGCTCAATGCAACCTCTGCCTCCTGGGTTCAAGCAACTCTCCTGCCTCAGCGTTGGGATTATAGGCAGCCACCATCACACCCTGCTAATTCTTGTATTTTTAATAGAGATGGAGTTTCACCATGTTGGCCAGGCTGGTTTCAAACTCCTGACCTCAAGTGATCTGCCCACCTTGGCCTCGCAAAGTGGTGGGATTATAGGAATGAGCCACTGCACCTGGCCTGATTTTTTTTTTTAACTTCTTCCTCCTATTCTTTAGGGTTGTCTTTACTATCTTATTACAATCCTAGAATGACTATCTTTGTTCATATATCCTTTTTGCTACTGCCTGTTTTTCCTTAGAAGAAATTCTCATAACAGAAATGCTATTAAATGTTACAGTCTCGGCCAGGCCTCGTGGCTCACGTTTGTAATCCTAGCACTTTGGGTGGCTGAGGTGGGCAGATCACCTGAGGTCAGGAGTTCAAGACCAGTCTGGCCAATATGGCAAAACCCCATCTCTACTAAAATACAAAAATTAGCTGGGTGTAGTGGTACACACCTGTAGTCCCAGCTACTTGGGAAGCTGAGGCAGGAGAATAGCTTGAACTCGGGAGGCAGAGGTTGCAGTGAGCCGAGATCACACCACTGTACTCCAGCCTGGGTGACAGAGCAAGACTCTGTCTCAAAAAAAAAAAAATGATTTCACACTGCCAAAGCACCGTTCTTAAAATCTAACAACTCGTTCTGTCTCCAGCAACCCATGAAAGTTGTTCGTTTGGCCAGGACGGAGCACAGAGCTGCTCTGCGACACTCTCCCAACAGAGGAAGGTGTCTACCTTAGCACCCTGGCAGCCCGGACCCTGATGACATGCCCCGAGATGGTGATATTCCACCATCACAGACTAATCCTTTAATTAGTTTTGAGCGTGAACCAACAACTCAACAATAGTCTCTGCCAGGTGTCAGCTGTTTCTAATCCAGCCTCATCCATCTGGATGGAAACCTAGCTTAAACACCCACAGGCCATTTTTGCTAAACAAAACGCCTTATGGTGGAGGAAAGTGTCTCTGTAGCCACACTCAGTCTAATTTAAGGCAAATCTGTCAACAAACGTGCTTCTGCCCACAACGCATCCCTAACCAGGGTGATGTTCCTCCATCTTCTAACCTAGGGTCTAACTCCAGCCCACCTCTCCTCATAGCTGAGGTCTCCCCTGGTTTGCTGCCTCAAGCTTGGCTGTTGTGGGTTTGCAAGCAGAGGTGAAAACCCAATGAGGAACTTACATAGAAGTGAAAATGCAAGAAGTGGGCCAGCACTCTGGGGGTCATGCCAGGGAAGGCTGCCAGGAGTTTCTGGAGGTAGACCTCCAGATCCTTTTCCCTCTTCTCCACCAAGCTTCTGGAGTTTTTCCCAATTATCTTTTTGGGCGGAAGCAGATTTTTATCAATCTTTCTCTCTGCAACGAGCTGTAAAAAAAAAAATGTAAGCAAATCAACCACAGACTAAGAGGCTCTGTGCCTATGGAGGGCCAAGGCAAGAAGCCTGAGGGCAGACGCTCCTCAGCACTTGCACAGCCCCTCTCTGCAGCAGTACCGGGATCAGTGACCAAACCAGTGCACCTGGGATCTGACGTCCTCAAATCCAATTAGCTTTAGAAATATCAATATAATTCCAGACAAGGAACTCCATCTGGAGACTTTGGAGACATTCAGAAAAGTAACACCTTTTGCCCCTAAAACTGCCATCTTTTCCAAGCCAGAGTTAAAAAACCTATCAGGGCAGTGGTGTGTCTTTCAAACACCCACACTGCTAATGACCCAGAGAAAGACAGCATCTCCAAAAGCAAAGAAAAAGATGGAATCACAGCCAGATATTAAAGTACAGGCTTTGGAATAGCTATAGCTGGTTGAACAAGTTCAAACCTGTCCCCTCCCCAGGAAACTGTCTCAGCATCTCGTATCCAAGCTAGGACTAGAAAAATTAAAACTGAAATTCAAATATGCTCCTAGCAGACTGGCTTATGCTAGAGCTGAAGGCTAACATTTATATGCTATACTAATGAACACAGTTATATTAACAAAGTAGTTTATCAAAGAAGTGAACTATAGACATGGAGCCTGTTTTGCCCTAAAACTAATGTGTGGCACAATGGAAACTTGGCCTAAAGGGCCCCTCTACCCCTGAGATACATGTATCCAGCTCTTAACAGTTACCTTTTCATGTAGGTCATGGAAGTCGCTGTAGCGGTGCTTTACTGTCCACTCATGGTTGCCATCAGTGACCTGGATGATGTAAACCTAAAAGAGGAAACCGACAGTCCTTGTGACAAGGGAGCCTGCAACAAGGAGTCTCCTCCCCCTCCTCCTGCAGCAAAAGCTGCAATTATCTTTCCCAATTATCTTTTATCAGTCTTGCTCTCTGCAACTCAGATCCAAAGTCAGGCTGCCCTGGCCCACCAGCCTCTGCACCTGACCCTTGCTGAGCAGCAGGTCCCCTCTGAGCCTCCAGGGCCCAGGTATTAGGGCTGGGAGGCACTCGGGACAAGACTGTGGCTCCATCCATCAGTAAGGAATGAAAAATGTGATTACTGCTGGCTGGGCATGGTGGCGCACACTTGTAATCCCAGCTACTCAGGAGGCTGAGGCAGGAGAATTGCCTGAACCTGGGAGGCGGAGGTTGCAGTGAGTGAAGATTGTGCCACTGCACTCCAGCTTGGGCGAAAGTGAGACTTTTTCTCAAAAAAAAAAAAAAAAGAAAAAGGTGATCACCACAAGTCACCTCTTTAGTTTTTTACCTCCTGCCTTCTAGGTAACTCAGAAGCCAGCCTGAGCTGCAGGCAAGACCATTTCATCCAAGGGAGGCAGAGCAGGGCCAGTTCTAGCCTCATCTTCTCTGTTGTACTTCTTTCCAGGTGCCTTGACTACCTCCTGGAAGCAAGTCCTTTTCCAACCCTTTCAACTGGTTCATGGCTGTGATTTCTGCTACTGAGCCAGGAATCAAGGCACAAGCAGTTGACGTCGGGAGGGAGTGGTGGCAACCAAGCTCTAACAGAAGGCAAAATGGCCTAGAGGTTAAGGCAGGCCTGGGTTCAAAAGCTGGTTCTGCCATTTCCTGGCTGCAGCTTATGTGTCACTTATGTAAGTAACTTGAAGCCTAAGTTCTCTGTGAGCCTCAATTCCTCCATCTTAGAATCAAGGATCAAGCGAGGAAATGCATGTAAAATGCTTTGTACATGGGCCTGACCCATGGCAATTATTCAAAAGGTAGGTGTGTTAATAATACCCAACTCGGCACACCCGGAGACAGAGGCTGGTAGGGTCCAACCTAGATCACCACCTCCCCGACATACATGCAGAGGAGGGGCGCAGCCCAGAATAAGGAGAGCTTTTTGAAGATGGCCCTCTGGCTGAATGTGCCCATAGGTGGTGGCCAGCCAGCCATCAGCTCAGAGACCTCACCCGTCTCCGTTCCCTCGCCTCTCTGCCGCATGGAGCTGAAGCCTCCTTCAGCCCTGAGGAGCAGCCATTTCTCCAGGCTGGCCTGTTGCTCCAGGATCCACCCCTCTCCTCTTCCCATCCGGCCCGATTCCCTCCCCGTGCCCTCAGGAAAGAAGATAGCCAGTAGAATGGCCCTCAGATGGGGAGGTTAGGATGAGGGCTAGGGATGCAGGGAGGGCCAAGGCCCCGACCCACTCCCTACCCAGCAGGAACAAAGGGCAGGAGGCAGGGAAGTGCTCAATGCGTAGCCCAGGGCCATTTTTTGCCAGGCAGCCCACCAGGCTCATAGGCCTGGCATCCAACCCCATCAGAGAAGGGGACTACCCCCCATTTGTCCTCTGTGCCCCCCATAGCCTAGAAGTGTGTGGGGGCAGCTTGTTGCCCCTTCTCGCTCCCACAGCCCAAAGTCACGAAGATTCCTAAGGTTTCGGGGGTCTGCGCTTCAGCACTGGGACCATCCCCATTTCTCCATAGCCGGGCTCCACCCCTCCTCCGTTCCGGTCTCCGCCAGACCCGCAAGGCGTTAGGTCCCCAGGTCGCTCCGGCACTTCTCAGAGAAAATCTCAACCACGACCTCAGGCTCTCCAGACCAGGGTCTGGGCTCCTCCTCTCTTCAAGGCCTGCGGAGCCTGCCCCTTTTCCCTGATTCCATCCGTAAGAGACCCTCTCCCCATCGTTCTCCTCCAGGACGCCAGTAACGGTCTTCCAGGCCTGGTCCCCTCCAGTCCTAGAGGGGTTCCGTCTCATCTAGACACTCCCCTTCTCCAGGCTCCTTTTATCCCCAGATGCCGCCCCCAACCCGAGCCTCCCTTTCGGATCGCGTACCGCTTTCCAAACCGCCTCCCCGGGCCCCAACAACTCTTCTCCCGGACCTGCGGGGCCCAGCCTCCTCCTCGCAATCGCAGACCCCTCTTCCCCCTCCTCCAAGCTGCGGATGCCGGACCCCTCACCAAGCCCCCCAAGTCGGACTCCCAGTTTCAGCCATCACTCCCGCTTCGAGTGCCCGCGCCCCCAACACACCGTGTAAGTGTCCACGAGCTCGGAGCCCACGACGCGCGCTTCCTTGGCCGGCTCGGCTTCCCGCTCGGGCCCGAAGCTGCGCGCCGCCGCCATGTTCCGGGTTCCACCGCCGCCGCCGCCCGGCGCAGACAGGCCGCAGCAGGGGGCGGGGTCAACGTCCCACCGCCCCCCAGCCCCCGTTGCCCCACGCCCCCACCGCGCGCTGTGCCGCCATCTTAGTCCGGCCGCCTTCCAGAGCCTTCTCCCCGCCCCTCGTGCGTGATTGACAGGCACCGCCCACGGCGCGCGTGCGCAGCGCTTCCTTGCGTAATCTCTACCTGCGTGGGGCCACCAACGGTACCCTGCGCAGCCTGCTAGAAACTGACCTCTCGGGTGGTGACCGCTCTGGGAATCGCCCCTTAGTCTCTCAGGAAGAGAGGACAGAAGGTCCGGAGCCTCCAGGCAACACGAAGCAAGTCACTGCTCCTCCTGGCCTCAGTTTACTCCTCCGGATAAAGGAGGCCATAATGGCGCCTCACTTGGCTGTTGGGCTCTTTCTCTTTAGGGCAAGACGGGCTGGAGGTGGAAATAGAACCTGTGCTTATCGCTGGAGTAGGGCGAGAGTGATTCTGGGCCGGTTCTGAACCTCTCCGAGACTCGGAGAGCTCTTGTCAGTGGGGCTTCTTGACAACGGAGTGGGTTGATTCATGCGGGGCCTGGCATGCAGTAGTGCTGGAAGCAAGGAACGTGTTTATCAAGACGGGGCTCTGTACGAAGGAGGGCGGAGACGGAGGTGGGAGGGGTGTGTGCTGCCAATGGGTACAGGAACCTCACGGGATGGCCTGTCAGAGTTCAAAACAGGAGGGAGACACGTTGACCTGGACCCACGAACTACAGTGCTAGAATAGGGAACTGAGTCCTAAACCAGGGGAAGATGAGACCTAGAAGAGGGAGGTGGTAACCTGACTGGAGGGTGAGGAGGGAGAGAGCCTGGCACAGATGGGGCATCTGTGGGGGTGCTGTTGAATTACAGAACAGCTGACTGAAGCCCGAAGGGGGCACTTCTCCCTGGGCAGATGGAAGGTCTGGGGCAGGCGCCTCTGGCAGAAGGGCTCCTGACTACCCTGCCCTAAGGTGGGTTAGCATCGTCCTCTGAGCTTGGGATTTGAGGCTTATCTTGGCAGGGCCCTGTACTCCCAACCCCCACTTGCACGTTGCACCCCATTCCAGAGAGGCTGAGTTAAAGGCAGGGGCTATCTTGGGCAAGCCACCACTCTTCCAGAGCCTCAGCTTCCTTATCTGGAAGGTAGGGGTCATAGCACCGGCCTCCCTGGTTGGTGGGAGCCTGGGCTGCTGTGTTGCAGGGGCCTTGCCTGGGGCCCACTACTTTGTGGCTCCTGTCCTGCCCTGGGCTCATGCTTTCATTCATTCCAGAAACCTTTTCAGAGTCCCTTGGGGAGTGTGGGGGACAGGAGCGAAAGAAACCTGGTTCTTGTAGCACTTCATCTGCTCCCTGCCTTGGGCAGAGGACGCAGGGACTCAGGCCAGCCTGACATCACTGGGCCCAGAGGAGGGGCTGGAGGATACTACACGCAGGGGTGGGCTGGGCTGGGCTGGCTGGGAATGCAGTGTGGGGGGGGGGCAGGGCTATTTAAGTCGAGGGCCGGCTGGCAACCCCAGCAGGCTGTCGTGTGACCCACCAGCATGGATGACATCTACAAGGCTGCGGTGAGGGACAGGGCTGGGTAGGGCTGGGTTGGGCAGGCCCACTGGGGGCTCACTCATCTCAGAATGGGGGGCTGGTAGCCCCAAGGAAGCGGTGGGGGCCCAGGAGAGAGTCTCTGTACCTTCAACCCAGGCCCTCACAGGGACAGTGGTTCTGATGTTTGAAGATGCAGAAGGGGTAGGGGCTCAGGGTCTGAAGGGAAGCTGGTGTTTGGAGATGCAGAAGGGGTGGGAGTTGAGGTCTGAAGGGTGGTGGAGGAGGTCGCCACTTTCAGCATCATGTCTCACTCTGTTTCTAAGTGTCTGTAGTCTGTGGCACTGTCTCTCAGCCACATGTCTCTGCATTTGTCTCTGGACATTTTTGCCTTTCTTTTTTCATCTCTCTTCCTCCTAAGTTGTCTCTCTGAGTCCCTATTACTGTCTCCCTGTCCCCAACCTCCATTTCTGCCCCTCACATTCTGCTTCTCACACACTCACAATCTGCCACTCCACTCCAGCCCTTTGGTTGGTCGAAGATGCTTTGGAGGGTGGAGGGTGTGAGGGGAGGGGCCTGAGTCCTGGGCTGGAGATGGGGCTTTGAAGTTCGAGGCAGGGAAGTTTTGGACATGAGGGAGAACCAAGGAAGAAGGGACAGAGAACTGAGGCCCCAGCCCCCATCGTGCCTGGCAGGCTCAGGGCTCAGTGGCTTAGCTGGGGGTGAGAATGAGGGAATGAGGGCTAGAGAGTGGTCACCCCAAGCCCCTGCAGCCTCCTGGGTCACTGAGGGACTTGAGATGCTGTTCCATTCCTGGATGCTGGTGACCTCCCACTACCCCAGAACAAGGACATCCTGGCCTGGGTAGCTGTCCCCAGGGGAACCCCTCCCTCAGCCTCCCTCACTTCTGGGCAGGGAAGGGCTACAGCCAGCTCTGGGGGCATGCCTGCTTATCCTGTGGGAGTCCATGAAGCTGGGGTGGGGGCAGCCCTCCACCCAGTGCCCATACAAGGCCTGGCGGAGCTGGGGACTAATTTTGGCTCCTGAGGCGGCACTAGTAGGACAGGGGGCCAGATAACACTGCCCCACCCCCTGCATGCCAAAGTCCCCAGAACAATCACCAGGTTTAACTTTGTTCCTCGTTAAAAATAGCCCAGTGGCCACCCTGGTCAGGTTACAGTGGGTAGCTTGTCTACCCCCACATTGGTTTATTGTCCCAACTTGAGGGACAGCTGTTCCTTGGGCCACCCAGCTTGAGTTTCATCACGGGCCAAAAGGGTATTGAGTGGTCACTGACTATTGTTACTGAGGGTCACCTTGGCCCTGAAGGGGGTGCCCACCTGTCACACTGGCCCTGAGCCCAGTCTTAGTGAGGCTAGCTGGGGCACATCAGGGCTTTGTGGGGAGGGAGGGAGGACTGAGACCTCTGTTCTGTGGCCTGGAAATAGCTTGCTTTCCCCAGCTGCAGCTCTCACCTGTGGAATGGGTTGGTTTCAGCAGCAGCAGCAGCTATGTGTGAGGCTGAGCCCTGAGAGTCCCTTTCCTTTCTAGGTAGAGCAGCTGACAGAAGAGCAGAAAAATGGTGAGAACCCCTATCACACGTGCGGGAGACCACCAGGGCCAGGTTGGGAGACCAGGCTGGGGAACGTGGGGACCCCTTACCAGAAGAGGAGCACAGACCAGAGACCAAAGGCTAGGTCCCTCTGCTCTGATCTCAGAGAGGTCTCTGAGGGAGGTGGGCAGGTTGGCAGGTGGCCCCAGGAGTCTGGCCCTCTGAGGTCCTGGCTGTTGAGCCCTGGCTATTGTGCCCCCCAACCTCTGTACACAGAATTCAAGGCAGCCTTCGACATCTTCGTGCTGGGCGCTGAGGATGGCTGCATCAGCACCAAGGAGCTGGGCAAGGTGATGAGGATGCTGGGCCAGAACCCCACCCCTGAGGAGCTGCAGGAGATGATCGACGAGGTGGACGAGGATGGTGAGCCCCTCCTCCCCAGGCTCTAGAGGAAGCCCAGCCAGCGTGGGGCTGGGATGCTGGCTCTGCTTAGCCGGAAGTGGTTTAGCCCCTCCGATCCTCAGTTGCTTCATCTAGAAAATGGGCATAATGGCCACAGAAGCCTGGCATTTGCATCCTCACACCAAATGCCAGGCTTCTGTGGCCACTCTTTGGGCTTGAGTCACCTGCAGTTTCCAACCTGGCCTCTGTAACTGCCTCCCAGGCAGTGGCACAGTGGACTTTGATGAGTTCCTGGTCATGATGGTTCGGTGCATGAAGGACGACAGCAAAGGGAAATCTGAGGAGGAGCTGTCTGACCTCTTCCGCATGTTTGACAAGTGAGCACGTGACCCTTGACCCCTGACCTTGACCCTCACTCAAGCCCAGCTGGGGTTAGGAGGGCAGTCTCAGATTCTAGGCCTAGGGACCCTGCAGCCTCTGCTTGATGGGGGAGAGGGATGCCCCATCTCCCAGCGTCCCTGTTCTTCCTAGGGGGCATGGTTGTGGTCCCTCTTGCCCTCCCTGCAGCCCTACCCTGGGCCCCCTCCCCACAGAAACACTGATGGCTACATTGACCTGGAGGAGCTGAAGATGATGCTGCAGGCGACAGGTGAGACCATCACGGAGGACGACATCGAGGAGCTCATGAAGGATGGAGACAAGAACAACGACGGCCGCATCGACTACGACGGTAAGCGGGTGGGTGGGCTGATCCCCTGCCACTGTGCCCTGCCAGCCCCACCCCTGACCCACACCTGCCCCTCTTTCCACAGAGTTCCTGGAGTTCATGAAGGGTGTGGAGTAGATGCCGACCTTCACCCAGAGCTGCCCATGCCCAGCCTTCAACTCCAGCCGAGTCCTGGGGCTGGGGAGCGGGTTGGGGTCCCAGGACCTGAGTCTGGTCATGTCCTCAACTCCAGATCCCTCGACTCCCTCCCCAGCCCCGTCCTGGGGGATGCAAATAAAGCCTGCTCCCTGGAGGCCTGCTGTCTGGCTCTGGTGTCCCCAGGCCATGGACTGCTCCCCAGGGCCCACTCTTACCCACTTCCTTCCCTGTCCCAGGCGTGGTGACTGCAGAGCCTGATACTGGACTGTGGCTCCACACTGCCTTCTGTGGCGGGTGACATGAGATTGGAGACTCCCATCTGGCATGCCCTCTATAACTCCTCATGCCCAGGCCCTATCTCCTGGGAGTCAGCATCTGGAGTCTGGGGGTGTCTAGAACCTACATTTTAACAAGTTCCTGGGGGTCATCACTTTGGTCAACCACGTGGCAGCCTAGGGGTCCTCTCCTTGGAGAGAGTGTTCACTGTGATACACAGCTAGGCCCTGGATGCTCCGTGGCACAGCAACCCTCTGCGGTCTTTCAGCCATGGCTGGAGTGGAGCTGAGCCTGTGGGGTCCCTGCAGGCCCACAGTGCCAGTTCACCTGCCATCTGACTTGTATTTCCTGCCAGCAGCATTGACTCCCAGGGACAGAGGGGCATGGACTCGGCTCTGCCTTCCCTCACCTGTTTGACAGGTGGCCCAGAGAGGTGCAGGGAGCTGTCAAGGTCATCCACTGAGTGTGGGAGACAGCAGAGCCACCTGGCTTCCAG